CTGCTCCCAGGGATCAGTACCCAGGTCTTTCATCATACTCACAGTGCAGGGGTCTCCTCTGTTGACCCTTAGCCTCCTCTGGGAAGCCTTCCCTAAGCCCCAAGCCTGGGTCAGGTCATGTGTCCCCTTGGTGTGCTCCCACGGCACTAGTACTTCATCAAAACACTTATCGTAATGTGTCATGGTCTGCTTTTTGTAAGACACTGGAGGTCCATGAAGGAGATCAGACACTGTCCCCATCATTTCCACCACTGCATTTTTTCCCCACACAATATCTGGCACATAGTAGGTGCAACATAAATATTTGTTAAATGTCCTTGTTGTTGGATGTATCTGTGTCCATCCCCACACACTGGGATGACACTGGGAGCTCTTTGAGGGGAGAGCTTCTGTCCTACTTGTTTCTGTATCCCTGGGACGCAGCGTAGGGCCCGGCACTGAGAAAGCAACTCTAAGTGTTTGCTGAATGAATCCTAAATGAAGGAAGGAACAATGCCTTTCCATAGTCAGGGTGACGGAGTTGACAGCAAATCCAAAAGCCCCATGCTGAGGCTGTGAAATTTTAGCAATGAGGGGAATGAGTAAGTAATCCCTAGCCATGAGTCAGTAAGTGGCTTGCCACAAGTCTCTAAGCCCTGATGCAAGACTAATTAAAAGATAACAGAATAAGATTCTGGAGTTCAATCAACACTAGACAAAACTACTGATTTTTCTCCCAAAGCCCACTTCTCCCCATTTCTTCCCCACCTCTGCAAATGGCATCACTGTCCAACCAGAAGCTCAAGCCTAAAACTTCAATCCAGCCTCGATGTCTCTGTGTGCCTCTGCAGGTCTGTTGGCTCCTCTCAAAGTACACACTGAATCTCCCACTTTTCCGTCTCTCCTGCCATCACTTTGGCCCAGCAGCCACCATCAGGCCTCACCTGGACAACCGCAGCCCACCCTAGAGGCACCCCAGCTTCCTCTCTCACACACCCACAGACCATCTCCACGCAGAAGCTTCACAAAATAGTGAATCTGATTTTCCCAAAAACCTCCAAAGGTGTCCCATGACACACACACGGAATAAAATCCAAACTCCCTGCAGGGATCCTCCAGGCCTTCTAAGACCCGGCCTGCCTGCCTGTGACCTCACCTTCTACCGTGGCTCCTCCCCATTGCACTCCAGCCAAAGCTCACGCCTGCCGCAGGTCCTTGCATTTGCTCCCCTCCTGCCTGCACGTCCCTCCTGTCCCTCCCGGATCTTCACCTGACTCGCTCCTTCTTCAACCACTCACTCACCTCTCCTCAGAGAGGCCTTCCCTGACGCCACCTAAAGGAGCTCTCCCTATTACTTTTCTCTGTTTTATTTACACCATCACACCCGTTCCTATCTGATATTTTCTTGTTTATTTTTAGGTGTTTATTATCAGTTTCCTCCAACTAGAATAGCAGTTCTTTTCACATTCTGAAGTTATCATAGCTTTTTTTTTTTTTTTACTTCTGTTTCTCTCCCCAACGAACATGTAAGTTCTAGAAAGGCAGGGCCTTCCTGGTTTACAGCTCTACCCCTCTAGCTCTCAGCACAGTGCCAGGCACATAGTAGATGCTTAATAAATATGAGGGTACTTCAAAAAGTTTGTGGAAAAATAGAATTGAAAGATAATACAAATCTTTCCACGAACTTTTTGAAGTATGCTCATCTTTGTTGACTGAATAAATGAATGAATGAACTAATTCAAAATGTGTCCACAGAGTGAAGTCAGCTTGCGGAGAAAAGTGAATGTGGTGTTAACTGCCATGAAAAAGAATACAGAACGCAGACAAGGAGGACCTGATCTGCACGGACTGGGTCATACCTGGATTACTGTACTTGGTTCTGGGAGTCACACCACAAGGACCAACAGTGTGGACAGGAAACTGACCAAGATTTGATTTGATGGTGTAAGGGCAAAATACAGATCGATGAGTATTAGTTTAATAGAGACACATTTTAGTTACAGGAAGAGAATGGCCTTTTGGAGAGTTCATAGCAAGGGAAAGGGTTTGCCTAGGAAGTGGTGGGCTCCCCGTATAAGGAAGTGTAGGAGCGGATAACCACTTAGCAAGGGTGTTGAGGAATGGACGCATGCAGTAGGAGACAGCCTTCGAGATCCCTTTCAAACGTGAGATGTCTGAGTTTCTGTGAGATAAAGGGACAGAGTCAAGAAAAAATTGCTGGCTAAAAAGAGTTCTAGAACTTACTTACCTAGCTACACCAGTAGAAGGAAACATCCCCAAACCATGTCTACACATTAAGCAGTGGAAAGACTAGCTGAGAGGTGTCTTTTGGGCCTGAAGGCATCCCAGGAACAGCGTGCATAGCTCCCTGGGATTTGAAATCTGTGTGTGATCATTCAGAACATGGGACTCCCAGATAGCCTGATTATTCAAAGATGCCTCAAATTCTAGGGGAAGACAGCCAACGTTATCACATAATGGCTATGAGGGTCCTGAATTTCATTTTTTAAACTCTACCCCTTCCTAACTGTAGGAACTTGGGCAAAGAAATTAGCCCCTTCAAACTTCAGTTGCCTCGTCTTTACAGAGGACTTCACTTAAAAATGGGGGAGGGAGCAATTAAAACCAGAATGGCACAATTTGATAATTATCGAAACTCAGTGACAGACACATAGACATTCATTATACTATTTATTTTACATTTGATAATTTGCATAATAAAAAGTAAAAAAGATGGGGAGTATAAAATAGTCCTGTCTCATATAATAATTATAGGGCTTAAAGAAATTATCATCATCATCATTACAAGGAATTTTTACAAATCCTAATTATTACCAGGAATGTTTAAATATCCCATTTAATCATCCCAAAACCCTATGAAATGCACAGTAATCATTGGGCAGATGAGGATACCAAATGAAGAATTTGATTTAGGAATTGGAGGATCATAAGGAAGCTCAGATAAATTAAGCAGTAACAAGTTCTGCAGCTGGCACGGGGCTGAAATGTGATCCGAAACCAGAGTTATCTGACTCCACCAGCACAGCTGCCTTTATTTCAAGAATAGCTCATTGTGTTCTACTCGGTTGATATCTATGCCATTATGATATCATTTATTCATCTAAGTCAGTGGTTTCCTAGCTCTTTTCTCAGTAGCAGAACTTTTTTTACAAACACAGTCTTACTTAGAGCTCCAGTAAGTAAAACTGATAAAAGCTGAGCAGCTCGGACTGAAGTGAAGATTGGGGCCCATCAAGCAGCCCACTTGATGCCAGGGTGGCCTCTGAAGCATCCTGGGGTCTATGGAGCATAGCGTGAAAACCCCAGATTGCAACCAACAACAAGAACCCTTGAACCCTAAGAATTACATATTAAGGTCAGCCTCATTTTTATGATGTGTCTTTCCTTTCCCCGTCTCCCATCACATATGATCCTCATTATCAACTCTGAGGTGGACAAGGCAAGGCATATCATCCTCAATTTGCAGATGAGGAAATCAAGGCCAAATAGGATCTAAGCAACTGGCCAAAGGTGCTACAGTTCAATTTTCGGTCAAGTGCAGACTGGAAGTAGAGTCTGTTTCCATTAATTCAGTGTGGACTGGCAGAGAGGGTGCCATCTACTGGAAATTGTTACTGACCCTTGGTCGGCAAAGTGGACAATTGCTCCTTGGCCACTGAGAGCTCAGCACAACCCCATGGACCCCTGCCAAGGCCCTGTCCCAGAGCAGATGGTAACAGGCAGGGGATAAGGGCTCAGTGCCATTGAAGGGCCTGACAGCAGGACTTTGGCTCTAAACAGGCCATTCCTGTCTGAGCCACGTCATGCTGAGCACAGAGCAGGGGAGGCAATGACAGCCACGTGCATTCTACCTTCATCTGCGGCAGTGAATAAACCTGCAAATGGACAGCAGGCAGTGCAGACCTGGGTATCAGCTACACTTTGCTTTTCTTTTTTAGCTCTTGCTTAGACATCCCTGAAACCAGAAGCCGCTGATAAATGCCTGAATGCAACTCCAGAGCATCTCTGAACTGAGCAGGAGCATGTGTTGGAGCAGGCAACACTTAATTATCACTTAGTCTTTAATTAGCACTTAATTATTAACACTTAATCCATCTGTAAAATGGGGACACTAATACCTGCCTCATAGGGACTCTGAGAGGATTAATTAATGTTTGCAGCCCACTTTGAAGAAGCAAAGCATTGAAGAAGTGCTCGACAGTGGCATTAATAATCACAGCAGATTGACTTCCTGTTTCTAATGAGGTCCCTTTTTCCTCTCTGCTCCTTCCTCTCCTTGCGAATATCCATCCTGAGTAATGTCTGCCCGACTCTGCCCTGGTGGAGAAACGCTCAGCTCTGTGTTTCCCACACACGGGGTTTCCCATCTGGGAAACGGGCTATTTACGGTGTAGTATTAAAGTGCGGGTTACATCTTCCCGCACTTTAATTTTCCATTATGTCCTCTGAATATGTCAATGCCTTTCAGTAAATATTTTGATGTGTGCTCTTGCAGCAGCTTCTGTGGGTGCTGAATGGGACAGCTGCTCCCTGTATTAGGGAATTCCAGATGTGGTTTAAAACCACCAGACTCATCTGCGAGAACACCCAGCTTCTACGTGGGAGCAGGGAAGGATCTTCTAGTTGCCTCTGGGGAAAGCCAGGAGCTATCTAGCCCTAAGTCTTGGCTAGGGTGGCTTTTCAAGGACCTCAGATCCACATAGGGGTTACCTATGCCTTTAGGATGAGAAATGTCCCCTCTGTGGGCTGCTGAAGAGGCAGCCTGGAATACAGCCCTGGTCTGGCCCTTCACCCAAGTAACTTCAGAACCTCAGTCAACTCTTCTATGAAGATTGAACAAAGCACCATGGGGGGGGGGAGGGGCTGGGGGAGAAGTGGAGAAAAAGTATGCAGACTTTAGGGTTCAACCAGGCTGAACAGTGGGCCAGAACAGTCCCCCAGAAGGTCACGCCTCATTCCACCCTCCTCCCTTGGTGCCAACTAAATAGGAGGATACTCACTCTTCTTGGAAGCTGAACCCATGATCTCTTGGAGTCCCAGCCATGGGGGCAGGGAGCTGCTCCGTTGAGGTCCTGGGCTGCAAGGTCTCTGGCAGGCCCTGGACTCTCTTCCAGATTTCATGACAAGTCTTGTCTAGGCTATCTTGGGGTGTGTCCTGGTGGATCCAGATGTATCTGGGGAATGGGCCCAGGGCGGAGGGGCGCTTGGCCACAAGGGCCAAGGACAAAGGGAGCCCATTCCCACTAGCCATCCTCCTCTCTTTCTAGAAGCTCCTTTGTCCACCCAGGGCTCGAAGACAGGGGGACCATCCACCGCTGCTCATTCACCAGAAAGGGCGGTGAGGATGGGGCCCGGCAGAGGCAGAACAGTTCTGTCCGGCTGTGGCTCCAGCAAGGTGACCGTGTTCAGAGGCCGTCGATTTGTGCGTGAGCGGTGGGTGGAGCACCGCTTTCTTTCGGAGAGGGGGGCCTTCTTTGGCTTTGTTTTTATTTGTTCTTTCCTGACTTTTGCCCCCCTCCCCGTCTCCCTTAGAAGATGTCTTCTAAGACGACTTTTAAAAGTCAACAAAAACCAGTAGCTTAGAAACCGTGGAATCCCTCGGAGCTCAGGAACCAGGCGCCAGGGCGGGCAGAATGACATCTGGGAACAGCTGGAGGGGGAGGGCTGGCTCTCCCCACCGTCCCTGGCACTGCCCCCTTGTGACACCCCTGCGACACCTTGCGGCGCCTGGGGCTCAGTCCCTTCTCGCCCGGTGAGCCACGCGGATGACTGAGTAAGGGTCTGGCACTGTGCTAGGCACCGTGGGGACAGGACCCCCCATGAGATTCTCTTCTCGGGCTTTCCCGAGGATCCCCGCGCAGGCCGAGGGCCAACGGTCCCAGCCCTTACCTGCCGGGTCCCCGACTTGGCTGTCCCCACTGCCCCCGGTCCCCCTCTCTAGCGCTGCTCTGCGGCTCCGGGAGAGAAATCTCAGGCGTGTCGATCTCCCGCAGCCCACCCGCCCGGCCCCCCAGGGACACCTGCCACAGCCCCGCCGGGCTGC